CAGAAAACTAAAAGAAATCAGCACACACGTTCTCTTCATATTCAACCCCACGAAATACAAGCTACACGCTCTCGTATGATGGTTATCTTTATGGCATTTTTTTACAGCCAGCAAGCGCTTAGCTAATTTTTCTCATCACATTACAGGGTGCATTAATGATGACCATTCATCGCTTGTGATAATTCCCAGATAATATACACTCTGTCATGCTGACATAGCCCCCATGGGTCACATGACGGGGGAGGATTTCTACATAATAAGCATAAGGATGGGTCAGAATAGAATACAGTAGGATTCAGCATTCAGGCTGACAAAACTCAGGGGGTAAAAACACTTCCCTTTTCCAGCCTGTTTTTATATATTAATGGAACTTAGTAGCAATAATTGACATTTGAGATAAATTACTGTCAGTCAGAAGCTTCTGTGGGTCCCTTGAATAGGATAGAGGATCATCTCTACTGACAGTCTTCTAAGATGACAGATATACCTGAAATGTTTTTTTAACAGTTACCCTGAATGTGAGCAAAGGGTACATCCTTTACAAAAACACACTTCTTTGGGAATGACTTGTATTCTTGGATGGTTGTATTATAAAGGGACTCACAATCAGCTGAAAATGTAGAGCCTTTGGACCAACTTGATCAGCATTCAACTGGAAGGATAATGCCCTCAGGCTAATTGGAGATCAGTTTATTATCAGTTTCCTTTCTCCGTTGAAACAATGGCATCCAAGCAGAACAAATGCAGTCCGTGTGGTCTGTTATCACCCAAACACACCTGGCTTATCGATTTTACTTTGGTTTTATGGGTTTGTGTGAGCTAGTGGATATTATGTTTTTTGTTTAAAATGCCTCCAATGGATAAGAGGAAGCAAACGGTACGTTTTAAAAAAAAAACTAAGATGGTCAGTACCCTTAGAATAGTTACTGGCTAGATGTATTATATCAGAGTATGTGTTTGCTAAAGCACATGGTTTGCATGTTGTGTCTGTCTGCATTGCAACTCAGGCTCGTGTCGTGTGCATTGGGGTTTGCGGAAGGCTTTACATGCATTAGTACAGGCAAAGTGAAAGGGCTGCATTGAGTCTTCTGTTCGTGTCATATTTTCCTGTCGAGCTCAAAGCCGAACGCTGTTTCGCTGGCATTAGTGCCCAGCTCTGTCATGTTCATGTAGGACCAGCTTTTCACAGACCACTGGGCCCAAACTGTGGGGCCCGAGAGTGATGGAGACAAAAAAAAATACAGGGGACGGGGAGAGGGAAAAGTAGGCGAGACATTCAGCGAATTAATGAAAAGGCATAAAGAAGAGATTGTGAGAAGTTAAGAGGGTTTGGATAATGAGCGAAAGAATCAGAAGGATAAGAGAGGGAGGCAGAGTGAGATAGAGAGAGAGAAACTGCAGATCTAGGTCAGAGAGGCAAAGCAACAAACGAGTGGAGGAAGGGATGAACAAGCCTGGGAAGCTCAATGCTGCTGGGACTGAATGGGATGGAACAGAGAATGAGTGGGCAATCCTCAGAGAGAGAGAGAGAGATAGAAAGAGAGAGAGAGACATGATAGCATACTATGTGAAATCCATTATTTATCATCGTCAAGGCTGCTGCTATTTGAATTTTTTATTAACAAAATGGTATAAATAAATGCATGACAATATATGTATGACAAACTTGAAATGTCTCAACTCTTTGAGCCAAACATATTTGGGAGTTTTAGGTTATTCTATTGAAATTTTTATCTTTTTCTTACCAACAATCAAAGCCAGAATGAACACTTATGGGTTTTGTAAACGGAGTATCTTCATTAGAGGGTGGAGTTAGCAGATATTTGGCATTTAAATGGATAACATTGGTTGACATTCCCAAGGCTCATCATGCTGTCCATGTCTCACAACATCTAATTTGACCATAAATGCTTCTTAGGAGGAATCATGGGATGGTGTACGGGCCTTCTCTATGAATATTCATGCAAGAGATCACCCTCAGCTAATGGTTGGGATAAGGGTAACACAATTTACTATTTCTGGGACATTCTCGTCATGTCACATGAGTGGAAGGAGAAAACGGCAGCCCGAGGATATGTTGCCATCTCACAGCGTGCATCCACTGATGGTGACAGTGTGTTTTGGAAATGCGGACGGACGTTTGTGGACACATGCACAGACAGCAGCCTCTGCCCCAAACGGACTCGCTCCTGTTTTAGTTTCCACCTCCATGCTCTCCACCACCAGGTCAACCCCCAGAGACACACATGCACACTGCAAATCAGGTCAGCTGACAAGTCTGTGCGGCCACATCAAATTGGAGTGCCTCACCAAATACGAGCCATTAAAATACGCCACGCAAATCCACTTGGTTAGCGTTGCGAAAGGAAAATGATTCGGTCAAGGAATACGCTCTGGTAGCGTTAACCCTGCGGGGCAAACATGACACTGATCTCTGTTGTGGAATTGTTGTTTTGGCCATGCCTATATCTCATCTTTGGATTTACACTTAAATGACTAGGTAGAGGGCAAAAACAGGGCTGAGGATAAAGATGAACAGACTGAGCTAATTCCTCTCTGATGCTGCTTTGGAACATGGTCATCTGATAAACTGGGTAACATTATGGCTGCCAGAAGTGAGAAGAAATGGATGGAGGGACATTGTCATGTCGCTTGGAGTATTAAATCTCTTCTCAGTTGTAATGATATTCGTGTCTGATGTCTGACACGTTCACCGTCTGACTCCCCCCCCATCGGGACATCTTTGTGCACATGTGGGGGCATTTGCAAGACTTCCCCTCTCTATGTGAGCAATAGAATGAGCAAAAAAAGGTTTTTCTATGTGGGTATGCGCAAGTGTGTGAGTTTCTGCTTTGTAAGTGGCTGTAATTCCTTTGTTGGGCTTTCAACAAAGCCAGTCCTTGTGCTTGTGGAATTGGGGCAGTCTGATCCTAATGAGAAATCCCTGGTCAATCTTTCCAGCTCTTTTTGCTCTCACAGAATCGGGACTGTGAGACTTATGTGAGCTTCAATGTGTGTATCTGAGAGAGAGAGAGAGAGAGAGAGAGACAGAGAGAGACAGAGGGGAGAGGGAGGGAATGAATGAAAGCTGATCACAGTGTTCAACCATCCTGTGGTGCTTAGTTTGCATTGTGAAGTGCAGAATTACCATATTAAACTTTCTTTCAGCGACAAATCAGCAAGTTTAAAAGTTGAGCGGTTTAATAAGACATTTAACTCGTGCTATTGAAGTCACACAGTTTGGTGACCTTGGCTGACACGAGAATATTGCCAGTTATCTTTTGACATCTCAAAAATGTTCCATTGTGTATTTTTTTTTCTCCCCCAACTTCAGCTCCAATAAAACGCTTTCCTCCTAAAATTTAAATTCATTTAACTGAATTCTGTACTTGCAAAGTGAGTGCTGCATTGCACACGTTTTTGTTGAAGGATATTATGATTTTCTTCAAATGACTTCATAAAGTCCGTCCTCACCAGTAATTTGATCATAATGCCGAGCTAGTTTTGCTACTCGTGCTGTGTTACTGGTAATAATTTTGTTCGACGGAAAAACAAATACTCGAGAGCTATTCATCAAGTAAATTGTGTCTTGGCAACCTCGTGGGTGTTATTGATCTGTTAAGATGACATTAAAATACAATACGAAGTCACGAGAATGAATAATGGCCAATGGCAGGGTGGAGACTGGCCTGGGTGAACACATTCCAGCAGTAATTTAAAATATATGAAACTAATATGAAACCACCAACTTTTAATCCCGGTTGGCTCCGTTCTTGGCATTCCTGGCTTGGATACTGGGCATAGCACATGTTATCACACCCGCCCGTCCATTAAAGCCCTTAGGAAGTGCCTTTGAGCCAGACCCTTAATGCCATCTGGTTTAAAACAATTCCAGAAGGAACACAGTCCAGCCCTTGTTCTCTCCGTGTGGATGTATTTCCATGGATTTGTTTGTTTGTATGACTACTGCTAAGCCGCTCCGATCAGACTATAACATGCTAATCATTTGAGTCCAGACAGGTGGAAGTAATAGCCGTCAGTGGGCTTAGCATCTCTATCCCTGTTAGCTTCATTAGTTAATCACAGCCACAGATGCTCTGTTGCAAATTAACCACTTGGGCTTTCCAATTGCCCCTCAGCTTTTTCTCTCCTGGTTTCTTTCAACCAAGATCCCCCAGGCATCTGCATCGCCTTCATATTTCATAATAGTGGGATCCGTAGATTGGTGTTTGTCTCCTTTTTTTCCCAGCCATCATTTGCTGACATGGTTTCACCTCTCCCCGCTGATGTACATTAGTCTTGAAAAGCACTTAACAGCCACTCTGTCGACTGGGACCTGTTAAGATTATTTTTAAATGTTGCAGGCATTGCACACATAGATGTTAATGTTTGCCTGTAATAAACACGATGCCCTGACACTTTTAAGTTTCATGTGCAATACAAGCAAAAGTGTTTTTTATTTTTTAAAGCAAAAATAAAAAGCATTAGCTGTCATTCCGTGCATCTCTGGTGGAAGATGCTGTTTATGACCCGCAACATCCCTGGCCAAGTTCAAAGAGAGGGCAGCTGTCATTCTAATCTTTCTGTTGTATTTCTGCCAATTCCTACATTTAGGTTGGATAAAAATCAGTAAGTCCTCCAAAACACGACTGCTGTGAGTGGATATGAGAAAAAAAAGAAATCGTCCTGTCATATAGACCTCAGTAAAGGTCCCTCCCTGTGTATATAATGAGACGGCTTACAGATCATGTATGAGATAAAGTGGAATGTAAAAATAACCAAACATGATTACGTGTTTTGTGTTTTTATCTGCTTATACTGCTACTATTTCTAAAAAAAACTACTTGTCAAAGTAGTCTGATGTCTAAGAATTGAAAATACACAGATATGCTATTTTCTCCCCTTTTAAAAATGTTTAAATGTTCCCTCACGTTTCTCCTCTTCTCCCTCTCACCTTCCTCTCTGCTCTGTCTGCTCGTCTCTCTCCTCTTTCTCACCAGGGTCGCCATGTTAGGACGGGGCAGCTGGCAGCCATCAAGGTCATGGATGTCACTGGGGTAAGACAACTAAATATGCACTCTAATAAAGAAATAAATCAATACAGTTTTAAAAACAAAAGAAAAAAAACTATGATACATCTATCAACCCTGTCATCTGATTAAGAGTCGTGAGTCAGGGTTGTCGTGAACCGTGTGTTTGTGTGTGTGTGTGCCTACGATGTGGAGGAGAGGAGTTGAGGACGGCCTATTGCCATGGTAATATTAGCTGGAGGTATTAGGACAGCAGTGTGGTCTCAGGCATGTCTGTAAAGCAGGAGGGAATCTCGGCTATATTTAGAGATCCTCTCACCCTGTCAGCACTCGGCTGCCAGCAGAACAATGAGGCACTGCAGGAATTCCGCAACACAGGATCTTATGAATGAATGAATCCGTGGTAACGTGAATGAAGGACGGGATGAGCATGGGCAGGATGCATGCTGTATGAGGATGAATTAATTCACCGATGAGATAAAGCGGGTATGGACTGAGCATCAAATGCAACGTAATGATCAGAAATAAATCGGTGTGCAACTAAATCTCATTGGATATAATAGGAATGAATGACTATTAATTACTGGAGAAAATTAAATGACGTATAAATACAAAATGTCAAACTTAATGAGCTGTAATGGAAAAAAAATCAGCTTACTAAAACAAAAGAACACTAAACTGAATTAAGCATGGCTCAATTCTCTGACATTTTGCATTGTAAACACGAGACTTAACATTTAACATCAAAACATCTTGTTTGCTTTCCGGCCTTTTCCAGAAACCTTTTAAAGGAAAAATAATTCAAAAGTAATTTCCTTCACCATTTATGATTTAGGGCTGAGTTGTGAGCTTTGGCCAATTTATTTGTGATTTTTCAAACCAATTCAGATTGCAACTCCATGAATAGCTTGGTTGCTGTGGCTCTATCAGCTCCCCGTTAGGATGCATAAAAGCTTAGAAATGGGGGTTCTGTTCTAAAGCTTGTTGATATTTCTGTTGTTACCCGTTTTAGGATGAAGAAGAGGAGATTAAAGCAGAAATTAACATGCTAAAGAAGTACAGCCACCACCGGAACATCGCCACCTACTATGGAGCTTTCATCAAGAGAAACCCTCCTGGCATTGATGACCAGCTATGGGTAAGGCATTGTTTATGTGTGTGTTTGAGCGCATATCTTTTACTGCTTTTTCATATTTTTGTATGTCACTGAGGGGAAAGGTGCACATGGTCTTTTCTGAAAAATACAAAGTGAATACCTACCGTTCCTGTCACATCACTGACTAAAAAGCAAGAGTGAAGTGCACTTATGCGCACAGATAAGTGGCAGATGCAGGTTTGTGTGTGTGTGTGTGCACATGTGTGAGCAAAAAGGAAAAGAATACATACAAAGGATGTGAATCAGTGAATGGCTGGGTGGCGCCTGCTATAAATCATATGTTAACGCAGCCTAAAGGAAATCTCTCTTCTCCAATGCTGTTGCATTCATCCTACAACAATGGGAAGACACACACAAGAAAAATATATACTCCCGCAGCAGCCAAATATACTGCCTGCATAATACCGCCTGACTCCAGCGCTAACGGTTTTCCCACAGCGTGTTGGAGTGCACCACTGCGCTGGAGTGGCTTTGCATGTGTCCTCTTCAATTTCTGAAAATAACATTGTGTGAGCTCTCAGCCCGGATGAGGGGAATTTGTCTGTTTCTTGCCAACTGCTTTTCCGCCTAATCAAGAGGGTTGATTAGGGAGGCTTAAAGCAGAGCCAGAAGTGACCGGCAGAACTTTTTTTTTTTTTTTTTTTTCCACCAGTCTCTATGAATGTAAAGCTCAGAGGAGAGAAAGGAGAGGAGCGAAGGGGGTGGAGGTGGGCCAGCTCTGGTGCTGGTCCTTATGCACACTTAAGGCTTCTTACCTCCATTCTCCTCCTGGAAATTGCTCCCCCCTTCACCTTTACTAAGATCTTTGACACTTCTAGTACACCTTGAATGATTATTCAGAAGGACTCTTGAGGATCTGTCAGAGGAAAACACAGTTTTATCCTTTTTTCCATCAAGCGTAGCGTATAAATGCTGCACCTCAGCGTTTGGCACTACATAAGATGGCAACTATGGAGCCAAAGATTTCTCATTTGGCAGCTTCAGCTCTTCTGTCCTCACGTGTCCTCTGCACACCCACTCTAGAAGGGGGTAGTGTGAGCGCGGCTTAAGAAAAGGAGAATTATTTCCATAATGAAAAGCATCCATTATGTCTGGGTCAAGACATGGGCTTGTTTTCAATCATTAGATTGTACGAGTCCACTGAGAGCGTTCACTCTTGAACTTTCTCTTCTGTCTGTGGAGTGTGTGGAGAGGCAGTTTCTAACAACGGCTGTTTGGATGTGTTATAAATGTACGCTGCAAAGGCACAAAGAAAAAAGAAAGGATTTAGCCAAGCAAATAGCTGTGAGCTTTGTATTAGGAAAGCGGTCTTTAAGTTTCTCATTCAAACAAACATTAGTGTTTGCAGAAAAACTTTGTAATCTTTCAGAACGGTTAGACTATTATAGGCAAACAAAATAACTGTGAAGCTACTAAAAAGGTCCAACATGTCATGGAAAAATTGAACAAAAAGAAAAGACAAGTGGGCACGCCACAGTCTTGTAGAACCACTGATTAACCTTTCATGGATGTCTTTGGACCATGTTGGAACGCCCACACGAGCACAATAAGAACATGATAATCACCAGGACTCTTTGAAGCAAGTCGCTGTCACTTGAATTGGCATGTTTTCCCAGACACCTGCCAAGAAACAACCAAAAGTTTTGTTCTTTGCACACATATGACTTTTTTTTATGTATTTGATAACTCAAACACAGTGATGATAATGGAGAAAAGTATAATTGTTTTTACAGAGCGCCTTATTTAACCCTGTTTGTGGGTGTGTACGCAGCTGGTGATGGAGTTCTGTGGAGCTGGCTCAGTCACAGACCTGATCAAGAACACCAAGGGCAACTCTCTGAAAGAGGAGTGGACTGCTTACATCTGCAGAGAGATCCTCGGGGTAAGTTACAAGTCGCACGATGAGCAAACGAGCTTTCTGCAGCAGCACAGCTCGGGCAGGAAGAACACCAACCTGATAGTAAAACACGGTACATGCTCAGGTCCCTCCTTGTTGCTGTCTGTGGCTACAGAGAGTCTAAACAAGCTGTGGCTCAGGATTACATTTGACTTTTTTGACGCAAGAAAATTAGATTTTTTTGACTGGGAGTGCTGCTGAGACTAGAGAATCTGATTCAAATTGAGCTCACAGCTTATAAGAGTAATTTCTACTCACTTGTTGTTTTTGTGTCCCGCTCATAAACATCTTGGAATGAAGGACTTCTTCCTTGATAAAAACCACGGCCCTATTGTTTTCCATGGTGTCTCTGTTATGGTTTTAATGCCATTGACTGGGTTCTTGAGAAGTGGTATTTTTTTCTCCCGTGTCTTATCTTAGCCATCTGTTTTTGTGCGATATGGATGCTGAGGGCAATTCTCTCAAACGAGACGCAGAAATATCTCTGCATCTTGCCAGTTATGCACAGTGCTGCTCTGAACTGAGGCATCGGTTGTTTGTTTCTATCCAGCGTTTCTTCTATTTTTTTCCCCCCCAACACTCAGATTCTTGTCTCACTCTGTGGTTTTTCCCGTCACTTTTTGTGCTTGCTCATCCCCCAAACCACTCACGAGTTCATGCTCTCATTGTGCAGGGTTTTTTTTCTTCCCCATGTCCAGCCATTTTTGTCCCAAACTGCCCCCAATAGCTTTCTTCTCTGTCTAGTGTAACACATTTTAAATATCAAGTTAGAAAACCAAGTTTTTAAGCAGGAATTATTTAATGTTCGGCATGTTTAATGTTTGGCATATTTTGCTGGATTGAAAAATAATCTTTCTTAAAATACGACCGTTTTGAAATGTTTTTTTTTCTGTATATCAAAAGTGAAGTTGACCGTTTTAGATGGTAATTACTGATAGGCTAAAACTTTATTTATTACTGTCTGTCAGTCAATCACTGGGAGGCCAGATGTCCACTCTCCTCTGCTCGGTATTGAGACCGTAGGTGGTCGTCCAGCTTAAGGACACTAGCTTAAGGACTCCTTTTGGAACTGAGCTCTTCCAGGAAAAAATAATCACAGCTTGGCTCACGGCGGTGGTGGCTTTGCCTCTAACTGTGTCTGTCTGTATGTGCAGGGTCTGACTCATCTCCATCAGCACAAGGTCATCCACAGAGACATCAAGGGACAGAACGTCCTGCTGACTGAGAACGCCGAGGTCAAACTAGGTCAGTCTGTCATCTAACCCCACTCGACAAAATGGCTTTAGATTTTGGAGGACAGTGGGCAGTGTACGGTTTCCGTCGTGTGTTTGTGTGCGGTGCTTCTTTCTGCTTTTATGCTGAAAACCAGCAGACTCATCTCTTTGTAGCTCTGCTACGGTTCATGCTGCAGACTGTGGGTGGGACTCTCTCCCCCTGCCCCTAAAGACCAATGAAGAGGGCTTTATACAGACTGTGTGTATGTGTAATTGGGATTTGAACAAGCAACTGTGGGTTAGGTAGTTTTATTCTATTATAAGCCTTCTGTGGAATTCAGTAAAGCCCATTGCTTCTGTGTCTTTGTTTGTTTTGTAGTGGACTTTGGGGTTTCGGCCCAGCTGGACCGAACAGTTGGAAGGAGGAACACGTTTATCGGGACGCCGTATTGGATGGCACCGGAGGTCATCGCCTGCGATGAAAACCCAGAAGCCACATATGATTTTAAGGTGATTTTTCCAGGATCCATCCTTATAAAGATGCACACGCCTCGCCCTTATTTGATCACCCAGAGAATGTATGCCTCCTTCATTGCAGAGTGATTTATGGTCACTGGGAATCACAGCGATAGAGATGGCTGAAGGAGCTCCACGTACGTACCCAGTCAATACCCACACCTCTGTTACACATCATTTCTTAGTGCTGCTTCACTAGTTCAATTTAATCAGGGGGCAGATCATTTTCGCAGTCCAGGCTTTGGCAACACATCTTAAATCATAAAATTAATGGAGGTAAAGTGGTAGATATAAAATGATCTGTCAAATGGCTGGGATGCTGCCTGGCCTTTAGTTTTTTATTTATCATCCATTTCCTTGAAGTGCACAAGTGCACACTGTGATCTTATGGGGCAAAAACTCTTTTGTTCTTTTTGGTGCAAAACCAAACATGCAAACTAAAAAAAACGTGTTGAAAAAGCACCCAACTGATCACAGTAATCGCATTGATTTTGCTTTGTCAAAATTGAACTAAGACGGATGTTGAGTTGCTAAATTAGATTGATTAGAATGGCAACTATTTTAGTCAATTGAAACAAACTGATAAAACTGAGAGTTTGGAACCTAAGTGGGTGGGTTTATTACAAGTGTTCTTTTGTTGGTAATAAGAATCTCGGGGCAGAGAAAAACTAAGTAAGTTTCTATTAAAAGGTGTAAAAAAAACAATTCAATATATTAGCACATGTTAATAAGTTTTGTATCTCTTCCTTGTTGTGTACTAAATAAATACTTTAGCGCTGTGTGACATGCACCCAATGAGAGCTCTCTTCCTCATACCTCGTAATCCTGCACCCAGACTCAAGTCAAAGAAATGGTGAGTGTGTTTGCAGATAATTATTATTCGCTAGTAACTACTGGCATGTCAAAGCAAGAAAGTAGAACGTGTGTCTGTTTGATTTCAGGTCAAAGAAGTTCCAGTCCTTCATCGAGAGCTGCCTGGTGAAGAGCCACAGCCAGAGACCCAGCACGGAGCAGCTGCTCAAGCATCCATTCATCAGAGACCTGCCCAATGAGAGGCAGATCCGCATCCAGCTGAAAGACCACATTGACCGCACCAAGAAGAAGAGGGGAGAGAGAGGTGGGTTTTGTGTGCACGTGCAGCCGCTGGTTCGAATGTGCCCCGGCTCTGAGGTTTGTTGCGGGTTACGCAGCAGTTCCATTAAGTAGCTCTGCTCGGCGTGGCCGACAAGAAGTAGAACTATGAACGAAGAACTATGTTTAAAATAGATGCAACTTATGCGTAACTACAGCAAATCAAGTGCATCACATGGAACATATTGCACGTCTGCAATAAAAAATCTGGAATGTGCAACTGACGGTTGTCAGTTCACTGCATTGAGGATCGAATCTTAACCTGTTCTCACGGTGTGATTAATAGAAGCCTGGTTATATGAATGCCATCCTTCAGTGAAGTCAGTTTTGGACCTGAACCTGTTTGTTTCTGAAGGCTCCAACGTTTAAAAATAATTCCAAAATGATCCGTCTCTTTAAAATGCAATAGATGAATCATTCACTGACAGCTCAGGCAGCACAAGAGACACATTGTACCTAAATACAAGTAGAGCAGGTTTTAGCTCAAAACTCTACGATCAATATTCTTATTTTTTTGGATGTGTGCACAAACAGTCAAACATATGCTGTTGCCGGCATGATGGTCAACGGTGTGGAAAATAAAACACACAGACTTTGGTGTAACTGAATGAGCGATAGACTGGCACCTTAGAGGCTGAACAGAACCAATAAGAACCACATCAACCAGTTCGAGAAACAACATCCAATTGGGCGGGAAAGCTACTGTGATACATAGAAATGCCTTGTTGACTTTGCCAAACCGACAATCTGTCAGGCTGCGGGTCTTTGTGGCTGTCCCTGCATGAACTATGCCACTTCTACAGCCAGTATGCTTAAAGACCTGTTGGACTGAAAACACTCTTGTGCAAATGTTCTCCACCCTGCTACACACAGTACGATTGGAATTTATACTCTTATTCACAGTGGCTTAAAGGAAGCGCCTCAGTGCCAACGTCTTAAAGACCCGAGGCACTTCAAGTGAAACATTTAGAACCTGGAATGGAATGACTTTGCCCTCTGCTGATGCTGACCGTATCCTCCTGTTTACTTACAAGTTTCCCATATTTTCTTCTCTCTCCACTCTCCTCCTATAAGATGAAACAGAGTATGAGTATAGCGGCAGTGAAGAGGAAGATGAGGGAAGGGATCTGGGTGATCCAAGGTCAGTTTCTTCACAAACATACAAACATAAACACCCTCTATATAACTTCATGCCAGCACATTTGACATATGCTGCCGCTTACCCGAGAAAATTCCGCTCTCCAGCTCTATCATCAACATCCCGGGCGAGTCAACCCTAAGACGAGACTTCCTGCGCCTGCAGCTCGCCAATAAGGAGCGTTCGGAGGCGCACCGGCGGCTGCAGCTGGAGCAGCAGCAGAACGAGGAACACAAGCGCTTACTGTTGGCCGAAAGGCAGAAGCGCATCGAGGAGCAGAAGGAGCAGAGGAGGCGGCTGGAAGAAGTAGGAGCCATTAGGCTGAAGTGGTGCTCTACGAGCCGCTGAAATGTTTACTCTGCTATGGTTAAACTCGAGCACTGAAAGATGTTAAGATCTGCATAAAATCGCTCCTATAGTTCTGAATGTCGGCACATTTGCCATTCTGGCTGTGAAGAAAGAGAGCGTGTTCCAGAGATGCCCCCTTTCTTTCTGCTTTTTTTTTTTTTTCGTCTTCCCCTTGTGCCGCTGTCTTGGCTCCAGAGAGCAGGCTTACAGAAGGAAATCCTTAGCCCATAATCTGTGTGCTCTCCGCGAGTTCCCACCAGGGTTCGCCTCCCAACGAACGGCTAAGCACCACGACTTGCCTCAACTAACATGACCCCGCCACTCAGGGCCAAGTTTTGTGTGTGTATGTGTGTGTCAGAGCTAGTGAGCACATGTTGGCTACAATGTGAATTAGACTACTGTGCGAAAAACATTGCCACATCTCCCTCATTATAGAAGGTATGAAAGGTTAGTTTGGTTGCCAAAAATGAAATGGATTACATAAGCGAGTGTTTCAGAATTGTAGTATTTTACAGATCATTTCCGAGTCAAAAATGAATTTATTTTTTAAATTTGCTCAAAACTAAAAATATAAAAACTAATTTCATGGCGATCTTGATTTTTTGTGTTCTCCTCGTAAACAGCAGCAGCAGCGAGAGCGTGAGATGAGGAAACAGCGTGAACAGAGGAGACGCTTTGAGGAAATGGAGCAGCTCCGTAGAGAGGAGGAGAGGAGGCATGCGGAGCTAGATCAGGTTCGCACATTTCATGATCTATTCTGTTCAGCCTCATTACTTACACAGGGTTTTGTGACTGGCATGTGTGCTGTGATGATGAGTCAAATCTCAAATTCCTTTTTGCCCTAAATTTTAGTCGTCCTCCCCCATTCAAAATAAAGACTTGCGGTACTTTATTATACAGATGTACTTTTTTCTTAACGTTGTGCATTTAAGTTGTGCATTCAAAACAGATGGAAGTAGAGCTGCACTGTCATAAAAACATTTAGCTAAAGTATGAAAGAACAACTATGTGTGAGGTTGTCTTATATATGTCTCATTATTTGATTGTTACTGAGACATAATTTGGTAGTAGAGTCTATCTTTTTAGATTAGACTCCCCGTGTGAAGTGAGTGTAGTTTAAGTATGTGGCAGCAAGCCTAAAGAAACCTGATGGATAATGCTCTCCTCACCGAGTCGCCACCACAGCTCTATAGTGAACGTGCAGAATTTCCTGAAAAGCCTCCGATCTGTGCTGGAGAGTACAAGAGAAACTGCTCATTTTAAGAAGCTATTTGTCGCTTCCAAGCCACCTTTTATTAAAATGTCACCCACCCACCATGTTGTCAACTCCCACTCGATGCTCCTCAGAGGCAGGCCTCCCGGCAGACTGACTTGGAATGACTGTGGCAACGGAGGATCGAGTGGAGTCTGCCTTACTTTACGTAAAAGGCTAAAGCACTTTAGCGCCCCGTGACTTCATTTATCTTAAAGGAACCTATTCATTTGGTTGGTGTTTTTATATGAAGCTATATAATTGAAATGTCAAACACTTGTTACACTTGTTAAATCTCTGTACTTGCCAAACTTTTGAAAAGTCACATTGAAATCCAGTCCAACTACAGCTTAGATTTCCCCAAAACCAATTTGAGCGTTACGTCCAAGGGATTTAGTGAAATACCTGTATGTAAGTAAGTATGGTAAGAAGCTATTACAAGATAACGGAATTAGTCTTTGTATTGAAATTTTTGGCGAAAGAAAGCCTTTTTAAGAAAATGAAGACACTAGGCAGGTTTTCAGATCCACTTAAATAGCATCTCTTTCTTCTTCATCAACACTAGTGTACTTTCAGAATCTCAATGGGGTCTTTTTTCTGTTTTCTTCTTGCTTTAAGATAACGTTCTCACACCACCCTTTCTAACAGGTTTTCCTTTTGAACTTTATCACAACTGTTTGAAGACTGTTTGGCCCTTATACTTTAGTCTTCTCTCCTCATTCACAGCCACCACAGGAGATTACCCTCCATACCCCCCCCCCTTCCCCTTTTTCTGTCTTTGTCTTTTTCTAGCCTTATGTGGTTTTTTGAGTTTTTCTTAAATTATTTATCTCCCCCTTGTATCGACATGCTGCCTCAGGAGTATATCCGTAGGCAGCTGGAGGAGGAACAGAGGCAGTTAGAGATTCTCCAGCAGCAGCTACTGCAGGAACAGGCATTATTACTGGTAACCAAAGGCATCCCACTTGTTATTACTGCACCTCATTTGTGCCGTGTGGTCCGTGTCCCCACTGCATGCAACCAAGAGACGGCTGAACAGAGAAAGACCACTATCTGCTGGCCGAGCAGCTCCAGTTTGATCGTAGCTGATTTGATGTGAAACCTGTGTGATGCTTATACATGTATTGAATATTATCCAATCACTGATTGCATGTTTGCTGCTATTAAGTTGGCTGGAACTCAAAGGGTTCCCCAGTGAGTGGGAATACACTATTTTTGGCCCATACACAGCACACCTGTCTTATCAGGGGGTGACGATTGTGCTTCAGATGTGCTCTGAAAACTATATGTCACATTTGATGTGCTTCTCCTTTCATGCGGTAAAATGTTAGATTTTCGTTCAGAGGGATGAAGAGTCTGCAAAGAAACCTTTTGAGATCCAGCCACAGCACTGATCCCATGTACCGAACCCCGCCCCGTCTGTGGTGATGTCTCCCTAAAACAATAAGGTCTCCAGCTTCCAGCTCTACCAACGCCACCCCAGTCATTCCCTGTTCCATTGTGTGCCCAAGCCTTCCGTGTGTTAATATTCTAGATATTGTCTGCTTCCGGCTGTCCGTAGCTATGTTTCTTTACCAGTTGTTGCATGTGTGAAAGCCTGACAACAGTGATATGCTTGTGCCCCTTCCCCTGTATAGTATTTTCCAAACAGAGCACGAAAGAGTGAAGTTTCCTGACCTATTTATTTTCCAGACTTAAAAAGACTTACATTGATGAGTGGGAATTATTTACTCCAACTGTCTAGATTAATGAAGATCTCTTTGTTGTCAAAAATAGCTAAAATATACTGAGCAAATAATATGATTGGATCACACCCCTTCACCACCATTTATTTCACACACATTCCTTTTCTGATCTCTTCTCCTATGCCCTCTTTTTGCCCCACTCTTATGTCGCCCCTTTCCCTTCCTTCCATTGACCCACCACCGCTGCCTCTCCAGGAGTACAAGAGGAAACAGATTGAGGAGCAACGGCAAGCGGAGCGTCTACAGAGACAACTCCATCAGGAGAGGGCCTACCTGGTGTCTCTCCAACAGAAACAGCAGGAGGGAAGGCAAGCAGAAAAGAAACAGCTTTACCACTACAGGGATGTCGTTAATCCTAATGACAAGCCCGCCTGGGCTAAAGAAGTAAGTCCCAACATGCATTGCAGATGGTCCAAAGACGCGAATGCGTGAAAAAGTCAACGTTAAGCATCTGCCTTCTGTTGTGAATGACTGAATTGCTCAGCAGGTTCTATGAGATGCATCAGTTTTGTGTTGTAGAATGCGGTATGTGTTGTGCTCACCCTCCTCTGACTCTGACTCCTAGGTCCAGAAGCAGCAGCATGCTCGAGATAAATCACCTGTCCTCAGACTTCACGAGTCATTCAGCCATCCACCTTCAGCCCCTAGTCCTCATGCCCAAATAAGAAAAACCCCATCCCTTGGTGCTCAGATCCTCCCCCCTAACCTGCCCCAAATATGTATTTCATCAGAACGTGATAAATCTGAAGAATTGAGGCTAAAGCAGGAGATAAGTCAGCATGTCAGAGAGTTAAGGAAGCAGAGGGCTAAAAGCCCCCAGAATGTTCACAACCACAAACAACCGCATAAGGGCAGTGGACAGTCTTCTAATCAAAAGCAAGTCAGTCCTACTAGACAAATACCCAAGTCTTATCCATCTCAGCCAAGTAATCAAAAGGACCAGCTCAGATCTAGGCCTAATCCTGGCCCGAACCAGGCAGCCATCCAGAGACGAATGCCTCCTGACCAACAGGTGAAGGCTTCTCAACCCATGGATCGAGGACTGGTCCAGTCTCAAATGCTTGGATGTAACTCTACTTCTAATCCTGCGGTCAAACTGGTTGGTGACCAACCTCGCCGCAGGTCGCTCTCACCCTCCTATAGAATAGAATTAGATGTAGATCCTAAAGAGGGATGGTGGCAACAAAAGATAAGGCCAACTGTCAGTGCCGAGAGCCTAATGAACCCCTCGTACTGTGAGAACCAAAATTACAAAATCTTCTCCGCAAATGAACTCAAATCAGTCCCCCCCAGTCTGAGAAACCTCTTCTCTCGTCCCTCAAGCGGGAACAATCTTCTCAGAGTCCCTGACCACAGCCCCACTCATTTTGTGGCCGTGAAAACTGATAGACAGGAAAACAATGTACCCAAAATCAACATTTCTATGTTGGATCTCGCCTCTTCTGCCCCTGCTGGTACACTCAGAGAGGAATTTGCTAAACAAATTGAGCATGGTTTCTCCTCTGAAAACTTAGTCTTTCGCAATCGATCCCCTGTGTTCTTTTCCGATCACAGCCCGCCACGAAACTCCCCTATGCACTCCCCCTCAGCCAGGATATCCCGGTCCAACAGCAGTGCATCCACACTCTCCCCTGACAGCCCCTGGGGCATGGCCCACAATTTTGATGCCACCCTCCTACCACATAGATAGACCATTCCCAACAGTACAATACGAAGACGATTTGTGGAACAAATTCGAAGGGACCGACTATGAATTTGATGCGAGAGAAGATTCATTTGAATATTAGAGAGGGAAAAACTTATGTAAATAGTAACAGGCACATACACAAAACACATAGGCTCACAGTTACACTTTTGCTTATCCATCTTCTATTTAAATAGTCTGCTCCTTGACCACTGATTTAAAACAGCTTGAAACTAAAAGGAAGGATTGGCACTCAAGCTTCTTTTGTGTCATTCTCTTACTGCGCATTTCCACCAGGGCCTGCTCACCGCCGCATGGCACAGTTCTACATGGTATTTTTCCACGAGGGGCTGACCCCACTTAAAAATGACCCCTTTGGCACATACTTGGCCTGGGTTCCATTTGGGCTGAGTAGGGCCCACAGCAGACACCCGGGGGCGCTGACCGGCCATCGAGTCACATGATTAGATAGCCATCACCCATCTTATTTTGAAAACGGGGCAACAACGAACATGCAATTTCTTTATTTCTGTGATCACAAACATTGTTGATGATTTATACACCAACCCACGCCACGGTCCGACGCCGTGGTTTAGATGGTTTATAGTGGCCACTATATCCTGGATTGCTGTCTCGTATTTTTGTGTCGCGTACACATGACGGCAAGTTGGCCCATCTTTCTGCTTGTCCATAATTTGTAATGGAGAAGCAGCTAAACCCTGTAGCGCCATGCCAGCCGAACTGTAGCGCTGAGTAGGCTCTAATGGAAAATGCCATTAGTAAACAAACAAATGAGCAGTCTGATAAATTCTTATTTTCCAAAATCCCTCCACCCTCAAGCTCTATAAATGCTAGAAAATGTGGAAGTACAAGAGGATACATTAATCCACAGTGTATATAAAGCTCCTTTTTAAGTTCCTTTTAAGCTCTGTGCCTATATTTACATATTTACATACTCACTGTACATATTTAGAATATTTTTTCCTTTATAATGAAAATTCTCTCAGTCAGAGATCTAGATGTAAGGTGCTAACTTTTATAGTTGGACTAATTTGTAATGATTTGTAGTTTGATTAAGAAATAGCTTGGGGATCTACAACCCTGCACCTATTTCCCAACCCCCCTATAACTTCTATCATGCAAATCCTCACAAAGCACCGTGATGGGCCCACTCCCAGACATATTGCGTATGATGTCATTGAGGAAATTGACTCATCCCAGATTACCTCTAGGTCAGTCAAGCAATTAATCTGATTCCAGTTTGGTGATGGGTGCTGGACTAAGGTGGTGGGATCCCTTTTTAAAAGAGAATTCTAAGAAGACTCTCGTCTTTTTTCCTATTTATGTAGAGACTGCTTTGTCTACAATTAACATCGGCCGTTACTCTGTTTATAGTTCCTGATAGAAAGAGTTTTTGGGTGGCAAACATGAGCACATATGTCTGTAACACATATGTGAAATGACTAAAGTGATGCTACCCAAAGGTTTTTTCTTCTGCAAAGAACGCACTAACAATGGGCTCTCTGTTTCTTGTAGGTCAGTCATTATTACCTAACCTTGACTGTGCACTGCTTTCACAGATCAAACACAACTATGATCCAGACTGTACTTCAACTGAACCTCCAAATGATTCTTTCCAATTAGCTCTTGTGTGTCTACGACTGATTCCTTCATCAGTAGTTGCATTTTAGGTGAACAACTAACAAACTTTTTGGGAAGTTTGCAGCCGCTGTTGATGTGAGGGTTACATTTACTGTCACTTTTTTTGGCTCATGCCGATTTGAGTAATGAGTGCAGCATCACATAGTTGTTTAGACACAGGTCATAGTCTTGAAAAGTCCAGTAAGATTACTGCTGGTGGATCACCAAATTTGATCGAACAAATAGATCCAATGTCAACTCCGAGGTTTTATGTATGTAACCATTGTAAAGATTCATCAGGTCCTCAACAGGTCTTAGAATTAGATAAATACAACTTCACATGACCAACACATGACTTTTTTTGGGGTACATTATTTATTTTACATAAACTTTAAACCAAAAACGCAAAAGCAGAATGAGATACATCATATACAGCTATACCGCCCATCACGCAGACAAGAGTTATAAGATCTTTAGATTCCACTTGTCCCAACTTCAGCACACGCATTTCAATGTCTACATCAGCTCTCTGTTGAGTGGAGGGAGCTGAAGTACTGATCCACACATTTGGATCATGTGGAGGTAGTGCTGGGAAACTTGGAAAGCATGCAGGACTACGGGTCCTGAGAACCAGGGCTAAGGAACATTGATTTAGACAGTTTTATCATCTTTAAGATGACATGGAATATGTACAGTTACAGTAAGAAAAGACTGAACAGGTATAGGCAAGGCATTTTAATTTAAGTTTGCATCTGAACAAACAACAAACTTATAGTGCAAAATTCTTGGTGTTTGGTTATAATGCACTATGTCTAGAGAAAATAAAAGGAAGAGACTGATTCTGTCAAACAGAAAATTATTTTTTTATGCTAAAGGTGATGCTCGAAATTATTGGTGTTTACTTAAATTTTAACGCACTGTTCAGTAAGTTAGCTTCATTAATAATAAAAGAAAGTAGTTACATATTGTTACATGTCATGTGTTTTTTATTTGAAGTTGGATTTAGCACATTATTATCTATTATCACCTGGAATGGACTGGATTGACCCCTAAAACCCAGTTAACTGTCCTATATATTTACATGGGTGTGTCCAAAATTATGCCCTGCTCACCCATGATTCACCAAACTATTGTTGAGTTTATGCTTTTTTTTGTCCTAGACTGTGATACTGGCAGCTGAGAGTTATCTTTGGAGCCTTTTCTGCCTACGGATAATCTGATAATCAGATTACCCTGCCAAGACGAGCTCTCTGCCTTTTTCACACAGAGTGGAATGGAGTGTTCCTGTCAATTGACAGAACTCCCCCAGTTTTGTGGAAATGGTTGCTGAAACTATTAGTCAAGTGAATTTGTTTTCCCTGCGTGCGTGCTGCACTTGAGCAAACTCAAATCCAACATTCTAGTTAAATGTGATGCCTGCTAAAGGGGATTAGCGATCATTCTTTACCTTTTTTTCTGAAGCCATCAGACACCTTGACCCCTGAGTTGTATATGGGAACAAGAAAAACAACCAAAATTGGAGGCAACAACGACATTTAAATGAAATGTGCAGGGTTGACTACACCCTGTCACTTCAGATAACACATTTGTTTTGAAGAGGCTTTTTCTTAGTCTGGATGTGACTCAACAATGTTAAAATGAAGAGTCGGTTAAGACAAGTTGTGACTCGAATTAAGAAAACAAAAACTTCATTGGATCCCTAAGGGGATTGGTGTAATTTGTCATGCCATTTAAAAACTGGAAAAGCTTCTCATGCATTCATTTTGTAGATATTATTTACAATGAATTGATTAGTGATCATTAATAGAACTGAGGGGATTTAAAGTTGACTCATGGCTTGCGGTAGGTGCATGTAGGGGGGGGGGTGATACCGTTTGTTGGTGAGGTGCATGGTGATTGGTTGTGCTGTGCTGTGAGTGACAGTGGTATGTGACCCGTCTCAGGTGGAAGAGCGATCTAAGCTGAACAGACAGAGTTCCCCAGCGCTGCAGCACAAAGTGTCCAACCGCATCTCCGACCCCTCCCTCCCTCCCCGCTCAGAGTCCTTCAGCAGTGGAGGCATGCAGCCTGCCCGAACCCCACCCATCCACCGCTCCGTCGAGCCACAGGTGTGTGTGACTGGGTATGCCTGAGCCAGAGGAAGCATGGGGATGACATCCAGACAAAGGAGCACGTGAATCTTCGCTCCGTGACACTCGGCATCTATTTTTCTTATTTTTGTTTCTTACCTGTCGTATTTTTTAAAATCTTTTTCCCTACAAATCACTGTTCCCTTTCATTTCATTCCGCTATTGGGCTTCTTACACCTTCTTTTTCTTTATTGCCTCCATGGTTTAGTCAGTACGGCTTTACTTCTTAACTGCTGTTTTCTCCAAACTGTACAACATAGAGCACAGAAAGCATCCGTACCACTCTCTCCAATCGACCTCACCAATCCCCTCCGACACTCTCCTTCTGTCTTTTTTTTTTTTCCCTCTCCAGCAGATGGCTCACCTGGTTCCTGTGAAGACACACTCCAGTTCTATGTCCGGCTCCCAGTCCCTACAGGACCAGACAGGCTCGGCTATGAGCGAGAGCGTCGGCATGGCCTCGCCAAGGCCTGAGATGCCCCGGCAGAACTCGGACCCTACCTCCGACACCCAGGGACCCCCGCAGCGCCTCACTGGCAGGGAGGAACGAGACCGGGACAGGGACAAGGACCGAGACCGGACGGCTTGGTTGAGAGAAGAGGATATCCCGCCAAAGGTTGATGATCACGATTAGATATGTTAGGTTTAAATAATTGTGGGGAAATCATTATCAAATGAGCAGAGCCTCATGAAATGAAGCTTTGTGAAGATACGCATTGCAGCCCAAGCCGGCTGTTTGATTCATTTGCTCCTGAGTGTAGGTAGATGAGTGGTTTGGCTTTTGAATATGGTAAAAGCACATTACCTTTTAACATTAAATTGTGTGGCGAGTAATCTGCAAACCAAATGGAGCAGGGCTGTCTTAACATGGGACAAAAACTTTTAAAAACATTTTATTAAACATCCTCTAAAAAAGGAGTTTGTTTTGAATGAACAAAACAAAATCTACCTGATGGAGCTCTGCGACTTTAAGGTGTGTAACCAGCAAAGTTAGCCGAGTATCCTTGTTAGTTGCTTTGGTGAAAAGCATCTGCGAAATACATCAATTTTGATTTAAGTCCAGTGTTGTACAGTTTTAAATACTGATTTATTCAGGTGGAATTTCTGAATAGATCCAACTTTGTAGATAATTGTCCTAAAGGTTTAATGTTCCTGTGTGTGTGTGTGTAAAGTTCCTGTCCACTGGCAGTTGAGTTTTACCAACTTAACTAATCTTTTTCTGTCTGTGTTTGTCCATGTCCAGGTCCCCCAGAGGACAACATCCATCTCTCCAGCCCTGGTCAGGAAGAACTCTCCTAATGGCGGTGTGGGTCTGGGCCCACGCACAGGCTCTCAGCTCATACGGGCTAGGTAAAAGCTAAAGTACTAAACAGTTTTTGACACAGCTGCATCTTTTGTCTTATCTAGATAAGTCCTCACTTATCTCAGAAAGGAGATTCAGACATTTTATCTGTTGTGCCGTTGAGCTTGATCCATTGAAGTGCCACCATGTTGTGCCAACTCTATTTTTGGAACTATTTGCCTTTGATGTTGTGGAGTATACAACAAAGGAAGTGAAAATGTTTTCATCCCGTTTCAGTAATCCGGACCTGCGGCGCTCGGAGATCTCTCTGGACGCGATGCTGCAAAGAACCTCCTCCAACTCATCATCCTCCTCCTCCCCTTCATCTCAGGGAGGCTCAGCTGAGAGGAGAGGTACAAACGCGCTTAGAAACACACTGTAAACACTAATAGCTGTGTACACATCTGAAATTTGTCAAATTCCATGTTTGCTAGCTTCTGTTTAATTAAAAGAGGGTGTATGTGCATGATTTTTGTGCTCGGGGACTCAAACTCACATGGAGACAGAGGCTTTCAGCAGGATATTGTCAATTTCAGTTCTGCTCTGATCAACCTGTCAGATGTGCCCTGTTGCTCTCAGCTTCCAGAGAGATATAGAGGAGGAAATGAGAGGAAGATAGGGGGATATGTCAACTAACAGGCCAGATGGATAGCGAAGACTTCCATGGATTTATCGTGGACGTATGCGACATAGTGGGGTGGCAGAAGTAGGGATTAATCCTTTTAGATGCTATGTTTTGTTATGTTGAAAGCAGCGTGGAGGTGTTCTCTAACGATGCAGTTGATGTAATTGTTGCAGACTGAGGAAGAGGCTTTGAAGCTTTTTATATTTATTTTAATTTGATGTCATTTTTTTGCTTGTTGTTTTTTCATAGACCAAACCAAGCAGGAAAGATCCCCTCCAGAAGCCAGTAATAAGGAGGCTAAACTCAAACAGGAGGAGGGCCGTGAATCAGCGAGACCCAGCAGACCTGCAGTGAGTTTTAACACAAACACACACATGGACTCCCAATCAAAGTGGTCTCCTCTCTAGAAAAGGCCTCCTCCTCTTTTTTTTTTTTCTACAACTCACCTGCTCTCTCTTTCTTTCTCTGCCTCTCTATTTCCCCTCCATCCTTCAGAGCTATAAGAAAGCCATAGATGAGGTTAGTGACTATCAAGCCCCCCCTTTTCTCAATCTTGTTTTTTTTTTTTTACCTCAGTCCTCGGAGCCCTTCTTCTTCTCCTGGCATGGTGGAGTTAGTTTTTTTGCCAAGATCATGGTTTTTCTTTTTGTTTTTTCCCTCCCTTTTCAACTCCCAAAAAATCAGGATGCCGTGGCAGTGACAGTGCACGTGTGCTTGGACACACATACCGGAGAGAGTGTATGTGTGTGTGTGTGTGTCCCTGCGTGTCCCCATGCATGTTGTGTTTGCGTGTATTCCTAAATGTGTGCGTGCGTGCGTGTGTGTGAGCCTTAAAAGCCAAGCACCTGAACAGTCTCACAGAATCTCTTTTCCTGTTTCTTTGTTGTCATGGTTACTGGTCAGGAGGAGCTGGTAAGCTTGCCGTCGTGCGTGACGGTACTCTTTCCCCCCCCCCCCCTCTGCATGATTGGGTCTGATCCATCGGCTGGGGTGATGGGGAGGAAAAGGAGGGTAGTGGAGGGACCACGGGCCAGTTGGCATGTGGATGACTGTTAAATAAGGGCAGTGTGATGCTGCCCTGCAGCTGTCGGCCTTGATTCTCTGCCTTTTCCTCTACGTATAACTATTGTTCTTAAAGTCAATTTGCTTTTCATTGAATAAAAGTGCTGATTGTTCTAATGGGAAAAAATCTTTCTCAAAGTGTTAGCTGAAATAAATGCTCTTAAATCAGCACTCTTGTTCCATACGATTAATAGTTATGGTCTCAGATGTATGTGAGACCACACTGCATTTTGTCTTGCTGCTGATGGCTTGTCCTACTCTTTGATCCTCTTTGCTCTCCTTTTGCCGTTGTATGTTAATAGGTCTCCATTCGCCTCAGGTTCCAGCCCTACAAATACAAAACTGATGAACTAAAAGGTTTTTCTACTGTCCTATTCTGTCACTCCCGATAGGATTTAAGTGCCCTGGCCAAGGAACTCAGAGAATTGAGGGTGGAGGAAGGAAGCCGACCTCCGGTCAAGGTGGGATTTTGTTTGTCGCCATCATGTTTCTCGCAGAAATCAAGTGGGGAAAATGGCTCACCTTCTCATTGTGATGCGCAGAATTATTTTTTAGAATTGATGAGTTACCAGTGTATTTATGACACCATTGGTAAGTTTCAGCTGATTGAACCGATGAAACACTTACTTTCATCGCCTGATGTGGCAGAAAAAGCTTGATCTCCTAAAAAAAGAAAAAAGAGAAAGGCTCCCCCAGCATGCTGCTAAAATGATAAATACTTTGATTGGACAGGAAATTAGCGTACATTTCCGAATGTATTCAGTCAGGATTGCCCCCTCACCCCAAACAGACTTTGTATCACAGAAAAATGTTTCTTAAACCATCCAAAAAAGCATTAACATCTCATTTGATTTAACTGGAACATCAAACATACAGTTTATAACACATTCATATGAAAATGCCTGAGGGAGAGAATTTAGCAAATCAAAATGCAAATTTCCTGTGTGATAGTTGTCAGACGGGGAAACACGAGGTGCCAAAAATTCTTGTCACATCAACACATAAAACACTGTTTCAAGCACACTGCTCCTGTGAACTGCAAAAGAAACGAATGTATCGGAGAAGTATTACTTCACTTGAGCAGATTTGACTGATTATGATCTACTTGTTGCAGTAATGAAAAATAAAAATGTATTATGCTTAGAACATTCTTGTATGTTGGTACTCCAGACATCGGGAGGTTCATGCCTCATTTAGAAATGAAGGCAACTAATAGCTCGTTTTAAAATAAAGAACGTTTTTTTCTTTTTTTGTTTTCTAAAGTCTACTTTTGGCTTGTTGCCCTGATAAAGGTTACAGACTACTCGTCCTCTAGCGAGGATTCGGAGAGCAGCGATGAGGACGGGGAGCCGGTGGGACAGGATGGGACGGTTGCTGTTAGCGACATCCCACGCATCATGTAAGCTGTCTTCTCTGCCTGTTTTTTTTTTTTTGTCTGACCTATCGCTTTTCATTTATTAAAAGACACACATGTGTTTAGAATATGCATCATTTCGGGAAACCTCTCTGTGTAGTTTGAGCAGGGTCTGTCTGTAAATGATCGTGTGTGTGTGCGTGTGTGTGTGTGTGTGTCGCAGGCCAGCGGTGCAGAGTACTGGTGAGTCGTATGGAGGGCTGGCAGAGGACGCTCTGGGAGATGCTTATAATAGCTCCAAGGACGGGACTCTTGTGATGAGAGAGGTGATGAATGGGAACATACTCAAACTCAAGCCTAAAGACACACACACACACACACGCACACACACACACACACAGGCTAAAAGAAGTAAGAATGATGTTTTTGCTTTTGTCAGGCATCAAATTGGACTCTATTCAATTTTTTTACCACTAATTTATCTTGTTATCTACTAAATGTCATACCTTGATCTCCCTTGTTGCTGACGGATGTGTCTTTGTCTATCAGGCGGAGGAGAGGAGGAGAGGTGGTCACACTGAGAGTAATGGGTTCGGGAATCACGGTAACCATGGTAATCTCCCTGATCTGGTACAACAGAGCAACTCTCCCTCAGCCACACCCACCACGGCCTTGCAGGAGCTGAGCGATATGGCTGAGGTCAGACACCCAAGAATGCATGTTAATCCCCGGGGGGGGGAAAAAATGGGTGATGGTGCTGCTGTTTGGCAGAAACCTCTTATCAGTCGTTCCTTTTTCATTTTGGCAGTTTGGTGTGAGCGGGTCCAAAGCATCATTTACTCCCTTTGTTGATCCGCGGGTCTATCAAACTTCCCCCAGTGAAGACGACGAAGAGAACTCAGCAGCAGGTAACGGAGCGCTGTGTGGTGTTGATAGCGTGTCACAGATGTCTGGGTTAGCTTTTTAAACTTAATGCTTTTGTTTTTTGTATTTTCCTTAAAAAAACCAAACAAAACCAACCCAAAAAAACAACAACGCCGTGCCATGACAGCCATGTTTGCCAATGAGCTGCTGAGGCAGGAGCAGGCCCGACTAAACGAAGCGAGGAAGATCTCGGTGGTGAATGTCAACCCCACCAACATCCGACCCCACAGCGACACACCGGAGATCCGTAAATACAAGAAACGCTTCAACTCGGAGATCCTGTGTGCCGCGCTCTGGGGTAGGAAGGAATCCAGCTTATCCCCAATGCCGCGCAAAGGTTTCTCCCTCTCTTTCTCTGACCATCGTCTGGTTGTCTGTGCTTAGGTGTGAACCTGCTGGTGGGGACAGAAAACGGTTTAATGCTGCTTGACCGAAGTGGACAGGGAAAAGTCTACAACCTGATTACCAGACGGCGCTTCCTACAGATGGATGTGCTGGAGGGCCTTAATGTGCTAGTCACCATATCTGGTTGGTTTAACATCCAGTGTTTATGCTCTGTGCATCATCATGTGCAAAAAAAACATGTCACTCCTCATTCTGGTCAAAGAACGAACCAGCAGCATTTGTTATTAACTGCCATAACTTTTTAATTTCGAGCTCGTAGTCATCGTGGTCTGTCAGAATAATTCAACCCCTTTACTGCTTCAAACTATTTTTTCTTTATCTGGGTTTGTTCAACCTCTTTCAGGAAAAAAGAATAAGCTGCGCGTCTACTATTTATCCTGGCTGAGGAACAGAATATTGCACAATGATCCAGAAGTTGAGAAGAAGCAGGGTTGGATAACGGTCGGGGAGCTGGAGGGCTGTGTGCATTATAAAGTTGGTAAGGGAGTACAGGAACCTGGAGTAAATAAAGACAACCCAAATGGCCAGACATGTAATGCCGTGCTGTTTTTACCATTGGATGTCTGTTTTACGAAATATAGACTCATAATCAGATTTATTATCATGATAAAGACGACAAATACTGGTGTTTCTCTTGTGATTTGCCTTTGCTATGTTTCCAGTTAAATACGAGAGGATTAAGTTCCTGGTGATTGCACTGAAAAACTCTGTGGAAATCTATGCCTGGGCACCTAAACCCTACCACAAGTTCATGGCCTTTAAGGTAAAAATGTGCATCTACCATCAGCACAGTAAAAAAAAACTATAAAAAAAAAGGTGCAAAGCATGAATGTCTCATCTTTATTTTTAGTCTTTATGAAACGACTGCTGTGTTTCTGAGCTCCACACTGTTCCCTTAACCCTCCTTGGCCTGTCTGGCTTTCAGTCCTTCACTGAGCTGCAGCACCGGCCCCAGCTGGTCGACCTGACAGTGGAGGAGGGTCAGAGGTTAAAGGTCATCTACGGCTCCAGTGTGGGCTTCCATGTCATCGATGTGGACTCAGGCAATCCTTACGACATCTACATCCCTTCACATGTAAGTTTTTACAGGTCTTTTTCAATTTCATAAAAATATTGACCATGATCTGCTCATGGTTTTGAGGTGGAAATGTAATTATTTATTTCTTTAAATCCTGCTACACTACCAGAGGTTGTCAAAGTCACCTGGGTTTCCTTGTACATTGTGTATATCACAATCTAGAAATGCTTTTTTATTCTATGCTTATTTATTATTATTTTATTTGATTCAATCCCTGGCAGTTCAGAGATTGTCAACTTCCATCGTATTCTTTTACATTAAATATGGTGCCTTGGGCTGGGACCACCCATGTTATAAGTCAGGCACTGTGCTGAAGAGGTCTTATTTCAAAGCATAACACAGGAGCTCTTGCTTTCAGGTACTCCAAAAAGAGCATTATCACTAGAAAGGTGCAAAGTCTGTTGCTTTGGCCCAATGGAGACAGAGATGTAAAGGGTCAGTCATTCAATCACTCCACAGTCACTCAGGAAGTTTGTGTAAGGTGTCCTACTATTTTTCCTGTTTCTGCGGTATCTTTTCATTTTAATCAGTAACCTTTAAACATGAAAAAAGTGGGCCACTCAAAGCTTTAAGCGCCCTGTAGAGTTAATGTGCGATCTTTAGTGTGCGAGCAGGTAAATGCTTTTTTGTACTGTTCCCATTTCTCCCCACCAACGAAACTCTAGCTCACTGAGATTCTTTGGCTGTCCTTTTGAGTTTTTGCTGATGCTAAGTGCTCTTTTTGTGCCTCTCGAGGTTGCCTGTTGTGGTCTTTGAGCTCTTTTTCTTCAAGATCGTTAACCTGATGTAAAGGCGACTTTGCTCTCTTGGCTTCTTTTGCGGACTGCGAGACAATAGCTTTCAGAATTTGCTGCACTCTAAATGAAGTGAAATGTTCCCCTGGCCAGTGCCTGCATCAATTATTTTTTATTGATTTCAGGATGTGAGGCAGTTTTTTTTTTTAAGAGCCCATTGTTACTAATAGATGTTCTTGACTTTTTATAAAGCTCATCAGGCTGTTCCCTGCAAGGATTTAGACCAAACTATTGCCCAAACAAACCAATCAGGCCTGAGACATTAGTGAAGGTTATGCAAGAGATCTACA